CTTTAAAAGTGGCTGCTTCACTTAATAAACCCTGTGCACTCGACCTCTGCAGGCTAGCGAATACATGCTGTATCGTGTTCACATACAGATCAGGGCACCTGAGAACAAGGCGATGGGAATCTGGCGGAGGGCCAAAGATTTTATTTCACGTGTCCAGCTCTTTGCAAAGCCAATCTGTGAATCTTTAATACAGAGCGACCAAAAAGTTGTGATACCATTACAGTATCTAATAAGTCTTAAAGAAATTATGATATAATAATAATAATAATAATCCTTGCATTTGATATAGCGCTTTTCACGTCGGGAGGACGTCCCAAAGCGCTTCACAGAAGACACTGTAAGGTGAATTGACTGTATATTTGTGGGCGAACGCGGCAGCCAATTGCGCACAGCAATGTCCCACAAACAGTTGTAGATCGAAAATGACCAATTTATTATTGTTTTTGGTTTTGGAGGGATTATTATTAGGCTCTGTGTGGAGTAAGGAAACTTGCCCAAGGTTTCGCCCTCTGCCTGGAATTGAACTCAGGTCTCTCGCTTGCAAAGCGAGTGCTCTAACCACTGAGCTACAGGACTCCGATATAATATAAGATATATATATATCTTATATTAATTATTATTAAAATAAATGGTATCATGACTTTTTGGCCACCCTGTACAAGGATACAAATTTACATTTTACAACAACAACAAATTACACTTACACAGCGCCTTTCACGTTGGGAGATCGTCCCAAGGCGCTGGACAGTCAGGGATTTGGAGCCGAGCTGGGGGTTGGGATCAGGAGGGATGGAGGACAGGGAGAGTGGGGGTAGAAGAGTGACCGAAGGCGAAGACCAAGAGGAGGATCTTGAGACGGGCCTTGAAGGAGGCGAGGGAGGGAGCGAGGCAGAGGGACCGCGGGATGGAGTTACAAAGGGCTCAGAAAGGCTGAAGGCCTGACAGCCGATAGTGGGAAGGGCAGCGTGAGGGACATGGAGCAATGACCCACAAGGGTGTCCCCCCCTCTCTCTCTCTCCCCCTGGCCGTCAACCCAATGGATAAAATAAGTCATCTGCTTCATGGCCATCTGTGGGCTGTTGCTGTGTGCAAATTGGCTGCAGGGTTTGCCTCCAAAAATACACACTCAGTACAACTGACAGTAAAATCTTGTGAAGCGCTTTGAGACATCCTTCCAACATGAAAGGCGCTGTATTTAAGCGCTGCGAGACACGGTCCCGCGAGAAGGACGCCATGCAACTGTAAGCTGTTGTGTTAAATGTGAGGATTGTTATTATATTGCTCCTTTTTTGAAGCCCACTTTTTTGCTGTGCAAACTAAGAATGTGTCATTACATCAGGGAGCTTGCTGCCGACAAAACACAGGGCAGGAAAACACACAAGTATTTGGTGGGTTACCAGCCTGGGCTGAATTGGGTTTTTCTCCTCCAGAACACTTTAAAAAAACAGCGTTCTTTTTCCACAGTGCACATGACAGCCTTTCAAAGCTGCAAAAGTATTTTGTTTAAATACATCAAATGGATATATTAACTTTAAAAATAGGCCACTTTATCCAGGACATTTGCACTGAAATTCAATTTCAGACTTATCGCATGTCAAATGCTCTCACACTTAATATTAATAATAATCCTTGCATTTGATATAGCGCCTTATCACGTCGTTGAGACAACTCAAAGCGCTTCACTGTCCAGCGCCTTGGGACGTCCAGCGTGAAAGGCGCTCTATAAATGAAATGTTGTTGCATTGTTATTGTTCACAGAATACACTGCAAAGTGAATTGACTGTATTTTGTGGGGCAAACGAGGCAGCCAATTGCACACAGCAGCGTCCCACAAACAGTTGTGGATTGAGTGACCAAATTATTGGGTTTATTTGTTTTTTTTTCTTGAGGGATTATTATCAGTCGTGTGGAGTAAGGAAACTTCCCAAGGTTTTGCCCTGCCTGGCAATGAACCCAGGTCTCTCGCTTGCAAGGCGAGAGCTCTAACCATTGAGCTACAGGACACCGTACGGGCTCAAGCGTCATATAAATGACCTGAATTTGTGTATAGGGATTGCAATTTCCAAGTTTGCAGATGATACTAATCTGGAAAAGTAGTAAACAGTGAGGAAGATAGTAGCAGACGTCAAATGGACATAGACAGACTGGTAACACGGGCAGACACGTGGCAGATGAAGTTTAATGTGGAGAAATGTGAAGTGATGCGTTTTGGGAGGAAGAATGAGGAGAGGCGATATAATCTGATGGTACAATCCTAAAGGTGGTGAAGGAATAGAGAGACCTGGGGGTTCACATCAGTAAATCTTTGAAGGTGACAGGACAGGAAGATAAAGCTGTTAAAAAAGTATTCGGGATACTGGGCTTTATAAATAGGGCCATAGAATACACAAGTCAGGAAGTTATGATGAACCTTTATGTAAAACACTGGTTAGGCCTCAGCGAGAGACTGTGTTCAGTTCTGAGCCCCACACTTTAGGAAGGATGTCAAGGCATTGGAGAGGGTACAAAGGAGATTTCCCAGGATGGTACCAGGAATGAGGGACTTCAGTTATCAGGAGAGGCCGGAGAAGCCGGGATTATTCTCCTTGGAGCAGAGAAGGTTAAGAGGAGACTTTAGAAGTTTTCAACATTATGAGGGGATTCGATAGAGTGAACAAGGAGAAACTATTTCTACTGGTTGGGTGGGTCAGTAACCCGAGGACACCGATTTAAATGTTAAAAGAAACAGATGGGAGGTGAGGAGAAATGTTTTCACACAGTGAGTTGTTGGGATCTGGAATGCATTGCCTGAAAGGCCGGTGGAAGCCAATTCAATAACAACTTTTAAGAGAGAAGTAGATAATTATTTGGGAAGGACAAGTTTGCAGAGCTATGGGGAGCGAGCGGGGGAGTGGAATTGAATTTGATAGCTCTTTTCAAAGAGCCGGAACAGCCACAGTGGGCCAAATGGCCTCCTTCTATGCTGTATAATTCTATGATTCTATGAAACGGAGGCTGAATGCATCCATGGCTGATTTATACATGGGTATCGCTAGCACCACCCTTGCAAAACAAGATTAATCAACCATTGCGTGGAGTCCTGTAGCTCAGTGGTTAGAGCACTCGCTTTGCAAGCGAGAGACCTGAGTTCAATTCTAGGCAGAGGGCGAAACCTTGGGCAAGTTTCCTTACTCCACACAGAGCCTAATAACAATCCCTCCAAAACCCCAAAAACAATAATAAATTGGTCATTTTCAATCTACGACTGTTTGTGGACATTGCTGTGTGCAATTGGCTGCCGCGTTCGCCCACAAATATACAGTCAATTCACTTTACAGTGTGTGTTCTGTGAAGCGCTTTGGGACGTCCTCCCGACGTGAAAAGCGCTATATCAAATGCAAGGATTATTATTATTACTATTATTGCGTCTCTAAGGCTTCTGTCGATATAATACATTACTTCACACAGAGCGACGATTGTGAGGAATGGGCAACACAAGAAGGATTGGCAGACAGATTCAGTTACAAATTGCCAGACAGCGCCTTCAATGGTAAGCTGAGCGGTTTTAGCTGGTTAAACTCCAGCAGTTACCCCTCAACACACTCTGGGGTTCATAAGCCTTGGCTCTTGCCAACCAGCGAATTAATACTCTCTGGGATTGGGTGAGCAGGGACTCTCTGGGAGTGAGAGTGCATGCACATTCCATTCCAGGCAAATGGAAGGCATATATAATGTGGAATGCTCAGTAGTTTGGTTTGGATACTCTCAAGCACGGTGATGTATTTCTGCAGGTGTCAGACACCCAGCTGACTGACTAAGAAAAGATTTCTTGGCCGGCTGAATGTATGCCAACTCATGCAGCACACTCCACAAACACAGCATTGTAACATTCCCACATTCTAGGCGAACGCTCCAGGGAAAAGTAGCGCACAGAAAGGTCCCACAAACAGCCGTGAAGTGAACAACCAATTTTGAACTCAAATACTCCAGGCTGACACTCCAGTGCAGTGCTGGGAGTGCTTTGCATTGTCAGAGGTGTCGCTCCTTGGATGAGGCAGTAAACTGAGGTCCAGGGGGGCAATGAACGTGACACTATTCAAGCGAAAGGACCCGGGTTCAATTCCCGTGTGGGCAAAACCTGAGGCAAGTTGCTGTGCACATGCTCCTCTGCTTACCGAGAAGTAAGTAGGAACCCAGTTGTCAGTCGATTGGCAGAAAGCTTTCTGGTGCTGATAATCCCTCAAAAAAACATTGTAATTTGGCCACTTCGATCCAGGACTGTTTGTGCAACACTGCTGTGTGCAATTGGCTGCTGCGTTTCGTCCACAAAATAGAGTCAATTCACTTTCTGTGAAGCACTTTGAGACATCTCAACAACCATGATAAGGCTCTATATCAACAACAACAGTAACTTGGATTTCTATTGTGCCCTCCACGCCAGATGGCGTCTCAGAGTGCTTTGCAGTAACGGATCCTAGGGCCGAGCCAGGGGGAGGGGGAGGAGCCGGGGGGAGTGGGGGGGGGAGCCAGGGGGAGGGGGGGGAAGGTGACCAAAGGTGCGGTTGAAAAGAAAGGTCTTCAGCAGAGACCTGAAAATGGGAAGAGAGGGAGTGAGGCGAAGGGAGTGAGGAAGGCAGTTCCAGAGCCTCGGGGCTTAGTGGCTGAAGGCACGGCCGCTGAGGGTGGAGCAGAGGACTCGGGGGACGAGGAGGAGGTCAGACCCGGAGGAACGAAGGCAATGGGTACTGTTTTGAGGAGAGAGGAGGTCAAAGAGGTCGGGGGGTGCAGAGGAGCGCAAGGGTGAGGATCTTGAAATCGATCCTCTCTGGGATATCAAACGCAAGGATTATTATTATTATTATAATAATGGCCTGATATGGGGCTTGAACACATAACCTGACTAAACACACACAACATACACACAAACACATAAATAGCAACATACGAGAGTAGACAGATAGACAGCGATACAGACAGAGACACAGACAGACAGACTCACACACACACACAGGTAAACTTACCTCTTCAGACAGCTCCCCGAATACCGCAAGAACATCGAACAACAGGTTGGAAGTGAAGAATGCTCTCATCATGTTTCTGTGGAAACCAAAATATTAAATATTATTTCAACAACCCGAGGGGGAATGCTTTTGTGGATGCAAAAAACCCCATTAATCCCAGGGCTTCCAAAGAGCTGAACAGAAACACTCCCTGCGGTCAAAGAATGCAATTTACATTTATACCGCGCCTTTAATGTGAGGAGGACATCTCATAACTGGCTGGGGACCCAACCTGGGGGTGGGAGCAGAAAAGTGTTGGCAGGGAAAAGATGGCCCATAGCTCTGTCAAAGAGCTAAGTCTTGAATGTGGGGAACTCTAGAAATTGAGGGTACAGAAAAAGGCCATTAGGCCCGTAGTATCTGTGCTGATTCCCTCAAAAGCAATCCTTTCATTTCCCTGGTCTCCATTTTCCTGTAGATTACTCCTTTTTATGATGATAATAATCCTTGCATTTTACATCACACCTTATCACGTCGTTGAGACGTCTCAAAGCGCTTCACAGAATATTGTGGGCCAATACACTCATAGGCCAAAACACTCATCCTCTGTATCATCCCAGTGAATCTACTCTGCACCCCCTCCTTCTATTGCCCTGAGGTCTTTTCTAAAAGTGGGGGTGACCAAAGCTAGACGTCAGAGTTTGGAGATGAATACGCAGTCACTACAGTAATTGCCCTCGAAGCCCTTGGAGACGTTTTGCTAATAGCTTTCAAAAGAGAATTTGATATGTACTTGAAAAAGAAAAATGTGCAGGGCTATGGGATAAGAAAGGGGGACTGGGACGAGTTGGTACCTCTTTCAAAGAGCCGGCATAGGCACGATGGGCCGAATGGCCTCTTTCTGTGGTGTAGGATTCTATGATTCTAGGTGTCAGACAGCCGACTAACCCCCCAAAATACTTCGCTTCGCATTCGGTATAGAGTTTCCAGTTATTATTTTTACGGGGAAGAATTGCGAGTATAAATATAAGGTGTTGTTCTTCAAGAAGGTTGCAGAGTCCTGGCTCCACATTGCTGTGGCTTTACTCTAATTTATGCCTGGTCTCCAACCAGGAATTTTTTACAGTAACAATGGGGGGGTCTGTACACACAGCTCTCCTCCAACAGAGCTGAACGCAAGCATAAGTGTTGGGTGATTAATGAGAGAGTCGATGCTGCCGTTTATTTCCCTGTGGTGCACCCCGTTTGCTTTGATAAACGCTGTCAGGTAAAGCCTGCAAGTCTCTGTGGAGAACGGCACTCAAACACTCCTCCAGCTTCTCCCTGAGCCTAAACTTAACCTCGCGCTCTCCCATCCCATAGAAATACAGTCAAACTCCCAATATCTCAACCCTGCCTTAACTTATGATAATAATAATCCTTGCATTTGATGCAGCGCCTTATCACGTCGTTCAGATTTCTCAAAGGGCTTCCCAGAATATGCTGTAAAGTGGATTGACTATATTTTTGTGGGCGAAACGTGGCAGCCAATTGTGGACAGCAATGTCCCGCACACACTTGAGAATTGAGTGACCAATTGTTCTTTTTTGGAGGGATCAGTAACCCCGGAAAGCGATCTGCCAATTGAATAACAAGTGGGTTCCTACGTATTGCTAGGTAAACAGAAGTGTATGGAGTAAGGAAACTTGCCTAAGGTTTCGCCCTGTCTGGGAATCGAACCCGGGTCCTCTCGCTTGCGAGGCGAGCACGCTGATTACTACTCTACGGGATTCTTCATTGCAACTTGGCAGAGGTTCCGACACACAGCAGCCAAGAATGACACGTTGTGAAGAAACTACAATGAGCTCTGCGGTTAGCAATAGGGACTCACTGCTGGAAATACACATTGCATGTCAGAGCACAGAGCCTGACTCCCTTTCCTCCGCTGCCACCTCATTAACAAGCACATCTATCGGTACCAATTTCAAACACAGCGGGAATTCACCAGAGCCCCTGGAGGATATCCCATTCATACAAACCACACCATTAGCCACATCCCGATTTACTGCCACTGTTTCCACTCTGCTTGTTAGACAACAAAACAATACGATACAGAGAGTGAACTGAGCTTGTTGTTGCTGGTGGTGATCATGGTGAGGATGAGGCGTCAGCTTAATGTTTCATCCAAAGGTTAGCACCTCCGCCAACGCAGCACACCTTCAGCTCTGGAGTGTCAGTTTAGACCAGGGAGGAACAACAACAACTTGCACTTATATAGCGCCCTCCACGCAGGGTAGCGTCTCAGACGCTTAACCTTTTGGCTGCCATGGGTCGCAATCCCTATTTGAGAAAGGTCCACGGGCCGCATTGTCTCAACAATCCCTCTCTCTCCCAATCTTTCTCCCAGGCGCAGGTCACTATCTGCAGGGCAGGAGCTGGTGGTTGGTCTCTAAGGACGCGCTTGCCTTCCTGACAGACTGCAGTAAAGGCGCTGGGCGCTGGGGCCTCCAGACCGCCGGCTCCTGCCGCTGCCCTGGGAGGATGTTCACCAGGGAGGGAGGAAGGGAGGGGAGGAGGGAGGGAGTGGTGGAAATGGTCATGAGACGCATAAACTCACCTGCCCATCAGCACCTTGCACATCAGGAGGACGCGTCAAAGCGCTTCATATAAGTGACTGGGAGCCTGGGGCAAAGGACACGCAACAGGCCGGTGCTCGCTGAGTGAAGGAAGCGGCCATGTCGATAGGGTTGCAAGACATGGCAGGGGTAGCAGTGGAGGTATTTGAACGGATGGACAAAGACATATTTTACACAATTTGGTTGGTGAATCAGCGACTAAAGGGCATCAATTTAAGATAGTTAACAAACAAGTAGTGAGGAGGTTGGAAGAATGTTCTCACACACAGAGTGGTTAAGATGTGGAATATCCTGCCAGGAGCGGTGGTTGAGGCAGAATCCAGATTAGCTGTCAAGAGGGAACTGGATAAATACCTTAAGGAGTCAGCTACAGGGGTAATGGAGAAAGGGCAGGGAAATGGGACTGAAACGATTGCTCTTGAGGGAGCCTGCACAGACATCAACAACAACAAGATTCCATTTATAAAGCGCCTTTCACGTCAGGAGGACGTCCCAAGGCGCTGCACAGTTGGGTCAGGACCCGAGCATTGGGGAAATGTTCAGGGGAGGGGAGGGAAGGGAGGGAGCGAGGAGGGAGGAAATGGTCAGGGTGAGGGGAGGGAAGGGAGGGAGCGAGGAGGGGGAAGAGAGTCGAGAGGGGAGCTGAAGGCTCGGTCAAAGAGAAAGGTTTTGAGACCGGCCTTGAAGGAGGAGAGGGAGGAGGCGGCGAAGGCACTGGGGGATGGAGTTCCAGAGCCTTGGGGCTGAGAGGCTGAAGGCCCGACCACCGATGGTAGGGCGGTTGGGGCGGGGGACGTGGAGCAGACCGGAGCCAGAGGAACGGAGGGTACGGGCAGGTAGGTAGGGGGATAGTAGGTCAGAGAGGTAGGAGGGAGCAAGGCCGTGAATGGCCTTATAGGTGAGGATGAGGATCTTGAAATCAATCCTCTGGGGGATGGGGAGCCAGTGGAGGCGATCATGGGCAAATGGCCCTCTACTGTTATGTAAACATCTGCAGTGCTATGCTTTTTTTCTCTTTTCCTTGGTTAAACCTTAACAAAGAGGAGTCTCGTAGCGTAGTGGTTAGCGAGCTTGCCTCACAAGCGAGAGGACCCGGGTTCGTTAGGCAAGTTTCCATACCCCAAACTCCTCGGTTTACCCAGCAATGAATAGGAACTTGGTTGTCAGTCGATTGCATAATAATCCCTCCAAAAAAATAATTTGGTTACTAAATCCACGGCTATTTGTAGGACGCTGCTGTACGCAACTGGCTGCCGCGTTTCGCCCACAAATACACAGTCAATCCACTTACTAATATATTCTGTGAAGAGCTTTGAGACGACGCAACGATGTGATAAGGCGCCATATCAAAGGCAGGGATTATTATTAGTATTATTATTTTATGGTACATTTCTATGGCTCTGTTTTTTATTCTCTTTGTTAACCCTCGAGTGTGCTCGAGCGCTTCCAGTACTCACTTGTTAAACCTCCCAGCTCGGTCTTCGTTGTCAGCGTATGTAAACAGGTTGATCGCTGTCCCCTCGATGTGTGCCGTTCCCACCACGTCGTTGGAAACCGCCTCCTCGGTAGCCAGCTGTTTCTTCATCTGAAAGAGGCGACCAAATAAATGCCGTCAAAATCGCCCTCCAAGTAACATCACGCCACGTCCGTCACACGGACAAGTTATTAAACGTGCAGTCCTGTAGCTCAGTGGTTTAGAGCACTCGCCTCACAACGACCTGGGTTCAATTCCCGGGCACAGAACTTTCCTTACTCCACACGCCTCTGTTTACCTCGCAGTAAGTAGGAGCCCGTTGCGAGTTGATTGGGGGATCGCTTGCCCAGGGATTTTTAAAAACAATTGGGTCACTAAATCCACGACCATTTGTGTGCAATTGGCTGTCATGTGTCCCCCACAAAATACAATCTACTTTACAGTATATTCTGTGAAGCGCTTTGAGATGTCTCAACAATGTGATAAGGCGCTGTATCAAATGCAAGGACTATTAATAAACTGCGAGCTCGGCCAGGCGGACGGCAGTGATTGCTATCACATTCCTGGGTGGCGTGGCTAAAGCCAGACTGTGGCAATGTCAGCGGAGAGACACTGGGTGGAAAATTTAATTCCAGCTCCTGGCAAGACAGAACACCATCCTGTAACTGGAAACAGAACCAGCGAGCGAGAGTGCCAGATAATCCCCTGGGCATCCGGCCTGCCTAAAGCCAAGGATTTTATTGCCTGGTAGCCCAAACTGGTCAACGCATCCCGAACCAGTGCCATGGGATCTTTAACCTTCAGTGGTATCTGACAACCAGTTTTAACGTGAAGAAAACTTCTCTTAGCTCCGAGGCAGATTACCAGTAATAACCGTGAAGGTTTCAGGAACGCCCTCTAGTTATGGAGCATGAGAGCGAGGGAGAGACAGACCGACATTCGGGGTTTAGGAGAAATGCATAATAATCAGACTTGGTGCAGGTACGAAAAGCTTTTCATCACCATTATAATATGTTGGAGGCTCAGGGGGCGATGAGATATCTTGTCAAAACACAGGCAGACATCTAGAAAGTAAATCCACAAGAGGATGGCTATGTGAGCTGGCAAACACATCACAGAGGGATGAGTCTGGCACTTTCCAACTACTAAATCTCTAAAACGTGACGTTTTGTTATGGTGATATTCAGGGTTGTTTTTCCCCGATCGCTGAGATAGAGATATTTTTGTTTGCCAGAGCCCCGATGACAGGTGAGGTCGGTTCAGGATTATTCCCACTGGATAAACTATGTGGTTTTAGCTGGTTAGACTCCAGCAGTTACCCCAATTCACACTCTGGGGTCCCCAAGCCTTGGCTCCCACCAACCTATTGCTAATAATGGGTCCGAAACACTGTCTGTCCAGCGCCTTGGGACGTCCCCCCAACGTGAAAGGCGCTTTACAAATTTAATTTTGTTGTTGTTGTGTCTAATATTAATATAGGGTTTGATTCCCGGGTAGGATATTTACCGAGCAGTAAGTAGGAACCCAGTTGTTAAGTCGATTCACGGATTGCTTTCCAGGGATAACATATAACATATTAGTGGAGTCCTGTAGCTCAGTGGTTAGAGCACTCGCTTTGCAAGTGAGAGACCTGAGTTCAATTCCAGGCAGAGGGCGAAACCTTGGGCAAGTTTCCTTACTCCACACAGAGCTAAATAATAGTCCCTCCAAAATCCAAAAAAAATACAATTTTCATTTTCAATCTTCGACTATTTGTGGGACACTGCTGTGCGCAATTGGCTGCCGCGTTCGCCCACAAACATACAGTCAATTCACTTTACAGTGTGTTCTGTGAAGCGCTTTGGGACGTCCTCCCGACGTGAAAAGCGCTATATCAAATGCAAGGATTATTATTATTATTATTATAATACCTCAAAAAAAGATTGGTCACTCAATCCACGACTGTATGTGGGACACCGCTGTGCGCAATTGGCTGTCACGTTTTGCCCTCAAAATACATAGACAATCCATTTTACAGTATATCCTGTGAAGCACTTTGAGACGTCTTGAAGACGAGATAAGGCGCTGTATAAAATGCAAGGATTATTATTATTATTGTTAATATTCTCTGGGATGAGGTACGCAGGGTGGGTCTCCTCAAGGAGCAAGTGCGCATTCCATTCCAGACGCAGGGAATTATCACTTGTAGGTGGCGTACATATGTGGAACTCTCAATTTAGTTGTATAGGCTTAAGCAACAGTGATGGGTTTCCATGTGTGTCAGACACTCGGCAGACAAGAAAAAGCTCTAGTTTGATTATCCAGACCTGCACTGTGCGAAACTAAAAGTGTGGAATTGTTACTGACTCAATATCAACAACAACTTGTATTTAATAACGTCCTTCACGCAGGGTAGGGTCTCGGAGCGTGGCGGGGCGATTGGGCACAGTGATTGCAAATGATGGATTAATCCTCGTGTTTGATATTGTGCACTTCACGTCAGGAGGACGTCTCAAAGCCATCAATCAGCACAGTTTCAAAGTCTCCTTTCTACAGCAGCAATTAGTTCTCCAAATAAAGCTATCCTTTTGTTTTTGCACCTATATTGAAAAACCAACAAGAAATCGCATTTATATTATGCCTTTCACGTCAGGAGGACGTTCCAAGGAGGCAGACCATGAAGGGTTTGCACTTGAGCTGAGGGTTGGAATCAGAGAGGGTTGGAGGGCAAGGGGAGTGGAGGAGGGACGATGACTGAAGTCGCAGTCAACATGGAAGGTCTTGAGACGGGACTTGAAGGAGGCAAGGGAGGGAGTGAGGCGGAGGGGCTCTGAGACGGAGTTCCAGAGGGTGTGGGCTGAAGGTCTGACTGCTGATAGTGGAGCTGGCATGGTGGGGACATGGAGCAGGCCGGTGTAAAAGCGTTCTCCGCGCTGTCCATAGAGCTACAAAACTCACAGCACGGAAGGCATTTGGTCCATTGTGTGTGCGGCAGCTCTATTAAAGTGCAATCCTTTCAATCCCCTTTCCCTGCCTTTCCCCCCCACCGCCGCCAAACCCCATGCAGTTGACTCTTTTAAAGCTGTTTATCCAGTTCCCTCTTGAAAGCTCATCTGGATTCTGCCTGAGCCACTGCTCCCGGCAGGACATTCCACAACTTAAACAGTCTGGGCATAAAAACATTTCTCCTAAACATCCCGTTGGCTCATTTACTATCTTAGATTGATGCGTCAGTCATTGACTCATCGACCAATAAAAATAATTTCTCCCCGCTGAAGAGCCAAAAAATCCTCATAATTCATGACAGACCAGGACAGGAGTGAGTGATTGAGGGGGCAAGGCGAGGGATTGAGGGGGCGAGGCGAGGGACTAAGGGGGCGAGGCGAGGGACTGAGGGGGCGAGAAGAGGGACTGAGGAGGCGAGCGATTGAGGAGGCGAGGGATTGAGGGTGCGAGGCGAGAGACTGAGGAGGCGAGACAAGGGACTGAGGGGGCGAGGGATTGAGGGGGCAAGGTGAGGGACTGAGGAGGTGAGATGAGGGACTGAGGGGGCGAGGCGAGGGACTGAGGGGGCGAGGCGAGGGATTGAGGGGGCGAGGTGAGAGACTGAGGAGCCAAGATGAGGGACTGAGGGGGCGAAGCGAGGGACTGAGGGGACGAGGCGAGAGATTGAGGGGGTGAGGGACAGAGGGGGCGAGGGACTGAGGGGGTGATACAAGGGATTGAGGGGGAGAGGGATTGAGGGGGCGAGGGTTTGAGGGGGTGAGGCAGGGATTGAGGGGGCGAGGCAGGGGATTGAGGGGGCGAGGCGAGAGATTGAGGGGCGAGGCGGGGGATTGAGGGGGCGAGGCGAGAGATTGAGGGGGCGAGGCGAGGGTTCGAGGGGGCGAGGCGAGGGTTTGAGGGGGCGAGGCGAGGATTGAGGGGGCGAGGGATTGAGGGAGGGAAAGCAAATTAGATAATTTCTTTTAGGAAATAATATCTTGGGATACAGTATGTCGTGGTATGTGCAAGCGGTTGCCACGATGGTGGAAGGCGAACTGGATGTGACCAGCATTTGCGACGTGAAAAGTGCTATATCAAATGCAAGGATTATTATTATTTTATTATTATTATTATCATGAAACGCCCGGTTCGGTTGTTGTTACCAAGCCTCGCGGCAGAAGGAAACAATTAGCTTGTGAAAGCAGTAGCTGCTGTTCCAAACAAAATCATCAAAGACCCAAAGGAAACAATACCTAATTTGATATTATCAATAATTTATCATTCTGTCGGGATCAAAGGCAGCTACAGGAAATTTAGATTGCTTCAAAGCACGAGAATATTGGGGTTGGAGGGGTGGGGGGGGGGGCGTGAAGAGAAAGGGAAGGTTAATAATAATCCTTGTATTTGATATAGAGCCTTATCACATTGTTGAGATGTCTCAAAAAGAGCTTCGCACAAGATGTTGTCAAGTGAATTGTGTATTTTGTGGGGGAAAAAAGACGGTGGTTTATTATAAGACACAGGAGTTTCTCTCCACCGGTGTCTTGTACAGCAATCCCCCAGGTAAAATTGGTCACTCACTTCGTTTTTGTGGGACGCAATGCGGGCGCAAATTGGCTGCCGTGTTGGCCTACAAATGACACAGTCACTCCACTGTAAAACCCTGTGAAGCTCTTTTGAGACGTCACAACGACATGATCAGGTGCTAAACCAAATGCAAGGATTATTATTACCATTATCTGAGGTCACTATTATCTGAGGCTGACACTCCAGCGCGGGACCGAGGGGGGAGGAAAACTGCACTGTCAAGACAGCCCGTCATTCAGATGAGACCTTAAACTGATGTCCAGTCAAGTGTCTGACACACGCGGAAACTCATCAACTTGCTTAAGAGTATCCAAACCAAACAGTTCCATGTACAGCACCGAGATGTGGAAATTCCCGTGTCTTGGAATGGAATTGCGCACTCTCCCTTCTTGTGTAATTTCGGAGAGTGTTAGATCCGGGTTAATAAGAGCCTAGTCTTGGGGGGTCACAGGCTCGAGGAATTTAATTGGAGTCCTGTAGCGTATTGGTTAGAGCACTCGCTGTGCAAGTAAGGGGACCCGGGTTCGATTCCCGGGCAGGGCAAAACCTTAGGCAAGTTT